TATCCTGTTTCTGATATACGTAAATGATCTTTCAGAGAGTATAAACCCATTCCTCTCAATGTTTACTGACGACGCCAAAATTATGAGAAGGATTAAGACAGAGGAGGACAGCTTGAGGCTTCAAGAAGACCTGGACAAATTGAATGAATGGTCCAATGGCTGTTAGAATTTAACCCGAGAAAATGTAAAGTAATGAAGATTGGTGTAGGGAGCAGGAGACCAGATACAAGGTATCATTTGGGAGATGAAATACTTCAAGAGTCAGAGAGAGAGAAAGACCTGGGGGGTTGATATGACGCCAGACCTGTCCCCTGAAGCCCACATCAAGAGGATAACAGCAGCAGCATATGCCAGATTGGCCAACATAAGAATGGCCTTTAGAAACTTGTATAAAGAATCATTCAGAACCTTGTATACCACATATGTCAGACCAATCCAGGAGTATGCAGCTCCAGCATGGAGTCCATATCGCGTCAAGCACAAAACTAAACTGGAGGTTCAGAGGTATGCCTCTAGACTAGTACCCAAACTAAGGGGTATGAGCTACGAGGAGAGGGTACGGGAACTAAACCTCACGTCGCTGGAAGACAAAAGAGTTAGGGGAGACATGATCATCACATACAAGATTCTCAGAGGAATTAATAGTGTAGATAATGAGAGTTTATTTAACACAGGAAGCTCACACACAGGACACAGGGGGAAATTGGGTACCCAAATGAGCTATAGACGTAATCAGTCTGGACCAACGAGACGAACCACAACCCCGCAAGCACAACTAGGTGAGTACACACACACACACACGCACACACGCACACACACACACACACACACACACACACACGCACACACGCACGCACACACACACACACACACATACACGCACACTCTCTTGTAACAATTTATCACAGTGTTTGAGTTTCGATTAATAACAGGAAGAGCGTCAGGATATAAGAAGTGAACTGTAGATAACAGGATTACCTGTGTGTGTGTGTGTATGTGTGTGTGTGTGTGTGTGTGTGTGTGTACTCGCCTAGTTGTACTCACCTAGTTGTGTTTGCGGGGGTTGAGCTCTGGCTCTTTGGTCCCGCCTCTCAACCGTCAATCAACAGGTGTACAGGTTCCTGAGCCTATTGGGCTCTATCATATCTACACTTGAAACTGTGTATGGAGTCAGCCTCCACCACATCACTGCCTAATGCATTCCATTTGTCAACCACTCTGACACTAAAAAAGTTCTTTCTAATATCTCTGTGGCTCATTTGGGCGCTCAGTTTCCACCTGAGTCCCCTTGTGCGTGTGCCCCCTTGTGTTAAACAGCCTGTCTTTATCAACCCTGTCGATTCCCTTGAGAATCTTGAATGTGGTAATCATATCCCCCTACTGTCTTCCAACGAAGTGAGGTTTAATTCCCGTAGTCTCTCCTCGTAGCTCATACCTCTCAGCTCGGGTACTAGTCTGGTGGCAAACCTTTGAACCTTTTCCAGTTTATTCTTATACTTGACTAGATATGGTCTCCATGCTGGAGCCGCATACTCCAAGATTGGTCTGACATATGTGGTATATAATGTTCTGAAAGATTCCTAACACAAGTTTCTAAAGGCCGTTCTTATGTTAGCCAACCTGGCATATGCTGCTGATGTTATCCTCTTGATATGAGCTTCAGGGGACAGGTCTGGCGTGATATCAACCCCCAGATCTTTCTCTCTCTCTGACTCTTGAAGTATTTCATCTCCCAAATGATACATTGTATCTGGTCTCCTGCTCCCTTCACCTATCTTTATTATATTACATTTGCTTGGGTTAAACTCTATCAACCATTTCTTCGACCATTCCTGCAGCTTGTCCAGGTCTTTTTGAAGCCTCAAGCTGTCCTCCTTTATCTTAATCCTTCTCATAATTTTGGCGTCGTCAGCAAACATTGTGAGGAATGAGTCTATACCCTCTGGAAGATAATTTACGTATATCAGAAACAGGATAAGTCCGAATACAGAGCCCTGTGGGACTCCATTGGTGACTTCACGCTAATCTGAGGTCTCACCCCCTCACTGTAACTCTGCTTCCTATTGCTTAGGTACTCCCATATCCACTGGAGCGCCCTACCAGTTACTCCTGCCTGTTTCTCCAGCTTATGCATCAGCCTCTTATGGGGTACTGTGGCAAAGGCTTTCCGACAGTTCAAGAAAATGCAGTCCGCCCATCCTTCTCTTTATTGCTTAATCTTTGTCACCTGATCGTAGAATTCTATTAAGCCTGTAAGGCAAGATTTACCCTCCCTGAACCCATGTTGATGGGTTGTCACGAAGTCCCTTCTCTCCAGATGTGTTACTAGGTTTTTTCTCACGATCTTCTCCATCACCTTGCATGGTATACAAGTTAAGGACACTGGCCTGTAGTTCAGTGCCTCTTGTCTGTCACCCTTTTTGTATATTGGGACTACATTAGCCGTCTTCCATATTTCTGGTAGGTCCCCCGTTTCCAGTGACCTACTATACACTATGGAGAGTGGCAACCAAAGTGCTCCTGCACACTCTTTCAATATCCATGGTGAGATTCCGTCCGGCCCAACAGCTTTTCCCACGTCCAGATCCAACAGGTATCTCTTGACCTCATCTCTTGTAATTTCGAACCCTTCCAAGGCAGCCTGGTTTACTGCCCCCCCCCCTCTCCTAGCGCAGTGACCTCACCTTGTTCTATTGTGAAGACCTCCTGGAACCTCGTGTTGAGTTCTTCACACACCTCTTTGTCGTTCTCTGTGTACCTGTCCTCACCTGTTCTTAGTTTCATCACCTGTTCCTTCACTGTTGTTTTCCTCCTGATGTGACTGTGGAGTAGCTTTGGTTCGGTCTTGGCTTTATTAGCTATATAATTTTCATACTTTTTCTCAGCTGCTCTTCTCACACTAACGTACTCGTTCCTGGTTCTCTGGTATTTCTCTCTCTACTTTCTGGTGTTCTGTTATTACGGAAGTTCCTCCACGCCCTCCACGTTCCTGTGTGTGTGTGTGTACTCACCTAATTGTGCTTGCGGGGTTGAGCTCTGGCTCTTTGGTCCCGCCTCTCAACTGTCAATCAACTGGTGTACAGATTCCTGGACCTATTGGGCTCTATCATATCTACATTTGAAACTGTGTATGGAGTCAGCCTCCACCACATCACTGCCTAATACATTCCATTTGTCTACTACTCTGACACTGAAAAAATTCTTTCTAACGTCTTTTTGGCTCTGGCTCTATGGCTGTGTGTGTGTGTGTATGTGTGTGTGTGTGTGTGTGTGTGTGTATGTGTGTGTGTGTGTGTGTGTGTGTACACAGACGGCGAGATGAACACGTCCTGACGGTGTATGAGGGAACTGTTACGTCACTCAATACAAACTTTCACACTTGTCAATGAGGGCCTCGGAGCGCACTCAATTGTTGCTCGGGCTGTTCTGTGGCGCGTGTGGCTGAGACGGGGGAAACCAACACCGCGCACACACGCACGCACGCACACACACACACACGCAAACACACACACACACACGCAAACACACACACACACACACGCACACACGCACACACACACGCACACAACGAAGGGGAGGAGGAGGAGTGGCCTTGCTGACAAGGAAGAACTGGAGGTTCGAAAACCTTATGTCAGACCAATCCTGGAGTATGCAGCTCCATCCTGGAGTCATACCTAGTTCATCACAAGGTAAAGTTAGAGAAGATTCAGAGGTATGCCACCACACTAGTCCCAGAGCTGAGAGGTATGAGCTACGAGGAAAGGCTAATGAAGCTAATCCTCACCTCCCCTAGAAGACAGAAGAGTTAGAGGAGACATGCTCACCACCTACAAAATGTTCAGAGTAATTGACAGGAGCTGGCAAAGGACCCCGGAGAAGAGTCACGTGTCCAAGGACGTGACACACGTGTCCAGTCTCCCCTCGGACACATAGTCCATTAATACATATTTGTATACTTACTACACACATGCATATTCAATACATACGTATACTAATATATTGTATATATATATTTAATAAATGTATACTAATAAAATTTAAGCAACGTGGAGAAGGGGGGGGGGGGAACCTGCTGCATGGGTAACAGCTTCTGCTCCATATCGACTTACCCAGGCTTTGTGCCCTGGAGACTGCACGATACCTACTACAACTAATACATATGTATGCAAACTTAATACATGCATGTATACTAACATATATATGTATACTTAATACATGCATACATACTTTAATATTAAGCACATTCACTCTTCATCTAGCACTCAAAACAAGGGGCTCTAACACGTTAAGTACAGGTCAAGCGAGTCTCCAGCAATGGGTATTAATTTTACGCACAAAAGCTACATGTTTGTGCTGTGGAAGTAGGGGTTAAGCCGCCCACTAAAGCGACGCTTTCTCTAAACCCACCACCCACTCCTTCTTCAGACTCTCACCGACCACAAACACCCAAACAATCCAACCACCCCCTTACGATCGCTCCCCAAAACAAGCCGTTCGCCCAGGGTATATAAGCTCCTTCAGTCCCTTGTGCCCGAGAAGGGAGTATAATTTGCTATGATCTCTCCTCTAACCCAGTCCCCGTATTGTTCAATTGTTTTCCCGCGCGGGAGGTATTAGCCTCGGGGACGATTTTCCTGAGCGTCAGACGGCGTTACGCGCGCGATTTTCTGGGGTGTCGCCGGCAAAAAGGGGAAGAAGAGAGAGTGAAAGAGTAATTGGCGTTCTACGGCGGATTGGGACAGGCATTAATTGGGGGAATTATGAGGACTTTGTACAAAGGGGCGGATCACAGGGTTTCGAAAGGAGGGGAGGAAAGAGAAGCTGTTGAATGAATGCCTTTCCAGGGGCTGTGAATGATCCACGCTCAGAGGCCTGCCATTACCGATAGATTTGCCCATCAGAGTACTTACCGCAGATTAGCCGAGGATGTACCTAGCTATTGTGTCTCGCTCTCTGCGTCAACGTTAATTCAATAGACGGTAACACGTGTTGAATCCGTCTTAAAGAGACCGGAGAGACAGGATGAAAAATTCGGTGACGGTTTGGCAGTCACGCTCCATAGCATGGTAGTCACGCTCCTTAGCATGGTAGTCACGCTCCATAGCATGGTAGTCACGCTCCAGAGCACAGTAGTCACTCTCCAGAGCATGGTAGTCACTCTCTAGAGCACGGTAGTCACTCTCCAGAGCATGGTAGTCACTCTCCAGAGCACGGTAGTCACACACCAGAGCACGGTAGTCACTCTTCAGAGCACGGTAGTCACTCTCCAAAGCACGGTAGTCACTCTCCAGAGCACGGTAGTCACACACCAGAGCACGGTAGTCACATACCAGAGCACAGTAGTCACACACCAGAGCACGGTAGTCACACACCAGAGCACAGTAGTCACACACAGAGCAGTAGCACTCTCCAGGTAGTCACGGTAGTCTCCAGAGCACGGTAGTCACACACCAGAGCACGGTAGTCACACACCAGAGCACAGTAGTCACACACCAGAGCACAGTAGTCACACACCAGAGCACAGTAGTCACCCAACAGAGCACGGTAGTCACACACCAGAGCACAGTAGTCACACTCCAGAGCACGGTAGTCACTCTCCAGAGCACGGTAGTCACACACCACCAGAGCACGGTAGTCACACACCAGAGCACAGTAGTCACACACCAGAGCACAGTAGTCACACACCAGTAGTCACACACCAGAGCACAGTAGTCACATACCAGAGCACAGTAGTCACAGTAGTCACACACCAGAGCACAGTAGTCACACACCAGAGCACGGTAGTCACACACCAGAGCACAGTAGTCACACACCAGAGCACGGTAGTCACTCTCCAGAGCACAGTAGTCACACACCAGAGCACGGTAGTCAGTCACACACCAGAGCACAGTAGTCACACACCAGAGCACGGTAGTCACACACCAGAGCACGGTAGTCACACACCAGAGCACGGTAGTCACACACCAGAGCACAGTCACACACCAGAGCACGGTAGTCACACACCAGAGCACAGTAGTCACTCTCCAGAGCACGGTAGTCACACACCAGAGCACGGTAGTCACACACCACACAGAGCACCAGAGGTAGTCACTCTCCAGAGCACGGTAGTCACACACCAGAGCACAGTAGTCACACACCAGAGCACGGTAGTCACTCACCAGAGCACGGTAGTCACACACCAGAGCACAGTAGTCACACACCAGAGCACAGTAGTCACACACCAGAGCACAGTAGTCACACACCAGAGCACGGTAGTCACATACCAGAGCACAGTAGTCACACACCAGAGCACGGTAGTCACACACCAGAGCACGGTAGTCACACACCAGAGCACAGAGTAGTCACACACCAGAGCACAGTAGTCACACACCAGAGCACGGTAGTCACACACCAGAGCACAGTAGTCACACACCAGAGCACAGTAGTCACACACCAGAGCACAGTAGTCACACACCAGAGCACGGTAGTCACACACCAGAGCACGGTAGTCACACACCAGAGCACAGTAGTCGGTAGTCACACACCAGAGCACGGTAGTCACACACCAGAGCACAGTACACACCAGAGCACGGTAGTCACACACCAGAGCACGGTAGTCACACACCAGAGCACAGTAGTCACACACCAGAGCACAGTAGTCACACACCAGAGCACAGTAGTCACACACCAGAGCACAGTAGTCACACACCAGAGCACGGTAGTCACACACCAGAGCACGGTAGTCACACACCAGAGCACAGTAGTCACACACCAGAGCACGGTAGTCACACACCAGAGCACGGTAGTCACACACCAGAGCACAGTAGTCACACACCAGAGCACGGTAGTCACACACCAGAGCACGGTAGTCACACACCAGAGCACAGTAGTCACACACCAGAGCACGGTAGTCACACACCAGAGCACAGTAGTCACACACCAGAGCACGGTAGTCACACACCAGAGCACAGTAGTCACACACCAGAGCACGGTAGTCACACACCAGAGCACAGTAGTCACACACCAGAGCACAGTAGTCACACACCAGAGCACGGTAGTCACACACCAGAGCACGGTAGTCACACACCAGAGCACAGAGCACGGTAGTCACACACCAGAGCACGGTAGTCACACACCAGAGCACAGTAGTCACACACCAGAGCACGGTAGTCACACACCAGAGCACGGTAGTCACACACCAGAGCACGGTAGTCACACACCAGAGCACAGTAGGTACTCTCCAGAGCACGGTAGGTACTCTCCAGAGCACATACTCCTCATTAGGGTACCCTGTACCCCATACTCCTCACTAGGGTACGCTGTAACATACCCATTAGGGTACCTTATACCACCATACCTTTAACCCCATTACCTTCAGTACCACATTTCCCTCTAGTACCCTATTCCATCTAGTCCACGTTGGTAGCTGTACCGTCGTACCCCGAGGCCAGCGTAGTACCCTGTACCTGTGTAGTGGTCATTAACAGGCTCTGAGGCGAAGGAGCATCGAACCGTGTACCGTGGAGGCTATTGTGACGGTGTTTATAGAGTTGGATCCTCCAGCTCCTCCAGCAGGGAGGATTAGGAGGCTTTGATCCTACGAGAGGGAATCAAGCACCTGGACTCCTGTTGCTTGTGGATGATTATGGTCTGGTGTGTGAGAGAGAGAGAGAGAGAGAGAGAGAGAGAGAGAGAGAGAGAGAGAGAGAGAGAGAGAGAGAGAGAGAGAGAGAGAGAGAGAGAGAGAGAGAGAGAGAGAGAGAGAGAGAGAGGACACCATGAAGGGGTCATTACACCACCAAAGGATCAACACATCAGTAGGGAATGAGCGACCACAGTGTACTGACGTTTGAGAATCAGGTTGAGGAAGGGTTATTGAACTGGAGGAGGAGAACTGAAAACAAAAGGCTGGCATTCCGAAAGAGAAACTATGAGGAGGTAAGAAAATTCCTAACAGATATAACATGGGGAAACAGAGCTCAGGCGAAGGACGGCCCAAGATATGATGGATGCATCATGCAGAAGTGTCAGGAGGCAGCAGGCAAGTTTGTCCCAGCTCAAAAGGAAAACAATGAAATGAAGATGAGAAACCCAGGTTTAATCAGAGATGTAGGCTAGCTAAGCAGCAAAGTAAAAGGGCATGGAGAAACTATAGGAATAACAGGACACTTGAGAGCAGAGAAAGATACCAGAGTGTCAGGAATGAATATGTCAGGATGAGAAGAGAGGAAGAAAGACAACACAAAAAAGGCATCGCAAGAAAGGCAGACTCAACCTAAATTGTTGCATAGCCACATCAAGAGAAAGATAACACATAAAGGAACAGGTAATGAAACTGAGGATAGAGGAAGAAGGATTCACTACAAACGACAAGGAAGTGTGCGAGAAACTGAATAAGAAATTCCAAGAGGTCTTCACATTAGAGCAAAGGTAATTTCCAGAGATAAGAGAGGGAATAATTATCCAGGAACCACTGGAAGAGTTTGAGATTACCAGTGGAGATGTAAGGAAACTTTTGCTAGAGTTGGATGTGACAAAGGCTATAGGCCCAGATGGAATCTCCCCTTGGATACTAAAGGAAGGAGCAGAAGCACTGTGCCTGCCACTCTCCATAGTGTATAACAACTGGTAACTGGGTAAATGCCAAAAATTTGGAAGATGGCTTATGTAGTCCCGATTTACAAGAAGGGGGATTGACAGGAGGTACTGAACTACAGGCCAGTGTCCCTAACCTGTATACCATGCAAGCTGATGGAGAAGATTCTGCGAAAAAAATAGTGGAACATCTAGAGAGAAAGAACTTTGTAACACAGCATCAACATGGGTTCAGGGATGGAAAGTCCTGCCTCACAGGATTAATTGACTTCTACGACCAGGCAACAAAAATCAGGCAAGGAAGAGAGGCAGACTGCATATTTTTGGATTGTCAGAAAGCCTTTGACACAGTATCACACAAGAGTCTAGTGCAAAGGCTGGAGATGCAGGCTGGAGTGAAAGGGAAGGTACTCCACTGGATAAGGGAGTACCTAAGCAACAGAGGAGAGAGAGTCACTATGAGGGGTGAGGTCTCAGATTGGCGAGGCGTCACCAGTGGGGTACCGCAGGGTTCAGTCCTTGGACCCATACTGTTTCTGATATATGTAAATGATCTCCCAGAGGATATAAAATCGTTCCTCTCATTGTTTGCCGATGATGCAAAAATTTTGTGGAGGATTAAAACAGAGGAAGATAGAACAGAGGATAGAAACAGCGGAAGCTACAAGATGACCTAGACAGACTGAATGAATGGTCCAACAAATGGCTACTAAAGTTCCACCCGTGTAAATGTAAGGTAATGAAATTAGGCGGTGGAAACAGGAGGCCAGACACAAGATACCGAATGGGAAACGAAGTCCTTCATGAAACGGACAGAGAATTATCTAGGAGTTGATATCACACCAAACCTGTCTCCTGAAGCCCACATAAAAATAATAACGTCTGCGGCATATGCGAGGCTGGCTAACATCAGAACAGCGTTCAGGAACCTGTGTAAGGAACCATTCAGAACCTTGTACACCACATATGTAACACCAATCTTGGAGTATGCGGCCCCAGCATGGAGCCCGTACCTTGTCAAGCACAAGACGAAGCTGGAAAAAGTTCAGAGATCTGCCACTAGGCTGGTCCCAGAACTAAGAGGCATGAGTTACGAGGAAAGGCTGCGGGATATGCAACTCACGACACTGGAAGACAGAAGAGTAAGGCGAGACATGATCGCCACCTACAAAATTTTCAGAAGAATTGACAGGGTAGATAAAGATAAACTGTTTAACACGGGTGGTACGCGAACAAGGGGACACAGGTGGAGACTGAGTACCCAAATGAGCCACAGGGATGTTAGAAAGAACTTTTTCGGTGTCAGAGTAGTTAACAGGAGGAATGCATTAGGCAGTGATGTGGTGGAGGCTGACTCCATACACAGTTTCATATGTAGATATGACAGAGCCCAGTAGGCTCAGGAATCTGTACATCAGTTGATTGATAGTTGAGAGGCGGGACCAAAGAACCAGAGCTCAGCCCCTCGCAAGCACAACTAGGTGAGTACACACCTTGTGTTGGAATACGAGGACAAGGAACTGGGATATGAGGACAAGGAACTGGGATATGAGGACAAGGAGCTGGGATATGAGGACAAGGAGCTGGGATATGATGATAAGGAGCTGGGATATGAGGACAAGGAGCTGGGATATGAGGACAAGGAGCTGGGATATAAGGACAAGGAGCTGGGATATGAGGACAAGGAGCTGGGATATGAGGACAAGGAGCT